AAAAAAAAAAAAGAAAAAACCACAAAGAATCGTTAATTAATAAATACCTCGTTTTGCAGGAATTTAAAGTAAAATGGTAATCTATTTAAAATATATGCAATTTAATTAATGATAAAACGATTCTTAATGTTCTGCTTAAACTTAAGAAAAATTTTTATGATTTGGATGTATATTCTGAATTACTTTCTCAACAAAATATGCTTAATTTCTGTTAAAATTTTTAATTAGTAAATATTACAGTTTTAATGAAACTTATTGAAAAGAAGATTAACTTCACTTCTCACGATATGTTCTACAATGCTTATTTAAATTTAAAAGAAAACAGCTCTATACTATTTCAACTAATTATAATTACGTTATCTTAATCTATTTTATCAAAACAAAAAATGATTAAGAAATTAGCTGGCAATAAGTTGGTAAGTTTTAACATTTAAAAACTTCTCTATTGAAGTTTGAAGTTTAACAATAAGTTAAAGAATTAAAGAGAAGTTTAATAAAGAATGTTTCGAAGAGTGTAAATACAGCATAAATAACTGAAAAATGAAATTGTTGTTATTCCTTTTCTCTCTTCATACCTTCTTTCACAATAGCCTGTGTAATAATGTTTTTATTCAAAAATCTAGTTATTTCAAATATTCCAACATATTTTAAAAAAATACAACACTTTGATTCCGTTGTTTCAGAATTTTATTTTCTTTTGGAGATAGGTTCGAGGACATTCATGGATCACATGTGCGCTATTACTTTTTTCTGAGTCCAAAACGAATGTTTGCTTTTTTTGGTTGCAAATACAGTCGTGCAGAGGTATCGAATATCAAAGTTTACATAAATTCGTTTACACACAGTATGGTAAACTACTGTATATTGCGATTTTTTTGAATAAATTTTAAGTAAATTTTCCACACATTCAATCATCATTTTGATCATTAATTATATGTATATTGTCATTTGCAAATATTTGTAAGAGCTGCGAGATAGTTGCACAGTTTTATTTCTTCTTTATACAAAAGAAATTCAAGATGATACGGATTTGTATCTCAAGAAAAAATAAACGCAAAATAAAGAAAAATTAATTATTACAGTGTACAACTAAATTTTAACTTTTGTTCGAAACACTTTTTCATATAAAAGAAGAAAAAAAGACTTCAAGTGCAAATGTAATAATGAAACTAACGTTTGTATTTGCCAAAGCTCGTGAAACTATTTTATGACCTGACAAACCTTTTATTTTCAGATGTTCCAAATTTTTGGTTACAAGCCAGACCAGAAATGGTCGTCTCTCTGAAACAGTAGACAGATTTCCAGTGATATTCAAATAATGAACTTATGTTAAGCTGGCTTACGAAAGTTATTCGAACATTCATCACAGACAAACTTTCACATACAGCTTTGAAAATTAACTTTTATACACAGCTTTTAAAATTAAAAAAAGATACTGAAAATAAAACAACTTTTAATTTTAAAATTCAATCACGACATGATCGTAGTATCGGAAATTCTAATTTAGCAGGTTTTTAGTTTTAGTTGCA